CACCTGGCACGGGCACCGTAGCCAGCCCGTGCCCCTTTAAAGGGTCCGGGGCCGGGAGGGGGGCAGATGAGTTTCCCTGGTGTTGGCCAGAGTGGCCACCAGGGAAACCTGGGGAGGGCTAGCCTCCCACTAGTTCGAATTAAGGGGCTACACAGCCCTTAATTTGAACTAGTAAGTTCGAACTAGGCTTAATCCTCGTAAAATGAGGTTTTCCTGGTTCGAACTAAGCACTCCGCTAGTTCGAATTTAATTCGAACTAACGGAGCGCTAGTGTAGCGCCTATGAATGTTAGTTCGAACTAATGTCCGTTAGTTTGAACTAACTTTGTAGTGTAGACATACCCTTGGAGCGCAGGTGGTATTCTCTTCAGTTCTCCCTGTCGAAGGTAGGGGCCCGGGCAGAGACAGGTGCATCCTGGAGGTGAATGCCTGGCTGCAAAGATGGTGTCACCAGGAGGGCTTTGGTTTCCTCGACCACGGGATGCTATTCTATGAAGGAATGCTGGGCAGAGATTGGGTTCACCTTTTGAGGAGGGGGAAGACCCTATTTGGACACAGAAGACCTGGGAAATGGGTCGGAAATGAGAGGGAGTGTGGGCTATAATGGCAGAGAGAAAGGAGGGTCAGGGCAAAACTGGGAGACAAGGTCAAATCAGTATCTTAGATGCCTATATACAAATGCGAGAAGTATGGGTAATAAGCAGGAAGAACTGGAAGTGCTAATAAATAAGTACAATTCTGACACTGTTGGCATCACAGAAACTTGGTGGGATAATACACGATTGGAATGTTTGTATGGAAGGGTACAGCTTGCTCAGGAAGGATAGACAGGGGAAAAAGGGAGGAGGTGTTGCTCACAGAAACTTGGTGGGATAATACACGATTGGAATGTTTGTATGGAAGGGTACAGCTTGCTCAGGAAGGATAGACAGGGGAAAAAGGGAGGAGGTGTTGCCTTATACGTTAAAAATGAACACACTTGGAGTGAGGTGGAGATGGACATAGGAGACGGAAGTGTTGAGAGTCTCTGGGCTAGGCTAAAAGGGGTTAAAAACAAGGGTGAGCTGATAGGTAAGGTCCCATGGGAATCAGGACTGAGGGAAAAACAACTGAGGAGAGTTGGCAGTTTTTCAAAGGGACATTATATTAAGGGCCCAAAAGCAAGCTATTCCACTGCGTCGGAAAGATAGAAAATACGACAAAAGACCGCCTTGGCTTAACCACGAGATCTTGCATGATCTAAAAATAAAAAAGGAGTCCTATAAAAAATGGAAAGTAGGACAAATTACAAAACATGAATATAGGCAACAACATAGGAATGCAGGGGAAAGATTAGAAAGGCAAAGGCACAAAATGAGCTCACACTAGCTATGGGAATAAAGGGAAACAAGAAGGATTTTCGTAAATACATTAGAAGCAAGAGGAAGACCAAGGACAGAGTAAGTCCACTGGTCAGTGAGGAGGGAGAAACAGTAACAGGAAACTTGGAAAAGGCAGAGATGCTTAATGACTTCTTTGTTTCGATCTTCATCAAGAAGTCTGTAGGAATGCCTAACATAGTGAATGCTAGTGGGAAGGGGGGAGGTTTAGAAGATAAAATAAAAAAAGAACAAGTTAAAAATCACCTAGAAAAGTTAGATGCCTGCAAGTCACCAGGGCCTGATGAAATGCATCCTAGAATACTCAAGGAGCTGATAGAGGAGGTATCTGAGCCTCTAGCTATTATCTTTGGAAATATCTCTGGAGATATTTAAGAGTAGGTTAGATAAATGTCTATCAGGGATGGTCTAGACAGTACTTGGTCCTGCTATGAGGGCAGGGGACTGGACTCCATGACCTGTTGAGGTCCCTTCCAGTCCTAGTATTCTATGGAAATTTATACCCCATCCCCTTTTTTTTGCTCAAACAAAAATAATCTAGGTAATGCTGCTGCATACTATTAATCTATTCAATGTAACAGAATTTTTTATTAAAGTTTAGACATTTACATGAATAAAAGTAGAAGTTCTGCAGCTATATTAGCCATGATAAAAGTCAAAAGGTGAGGAATTCCTCTGCTTCAAGACAAAATGTGATCACCTATTAATTTATTTCTAGTTCTTCCTCGTGGTGCAGTGTTAAATATTGCATGCTTTATGGAAGTGTTGCACCTTCCTTTGCAGCATCCAGCAGCCGCTGCTATTAGAGACAGTATATAGATCTTGGCAGATTATTTGACTATTAAGCAATGTGTATTTCTATACTTTAAATCCAGAGATTAGACTTCTCTTCACAATACACTGTTTATATTCAGCATACAAGTGAAAGAGCCTCCAGTTTAATAACCAAGGCTCGATAAATCTATTTATCTACTCGCCCATGGCGAGTAGATTTCAGCCAGTTGCCCCATTCACCGGCGGTGCGCGCATGCGCAGTGCGGGGCTGGCAAGTGGATTTCGCTGTGGTTTGTCGAGCCCTGTTAATAACCACAGAGGTGTCAAACAAAAGGACACTGAGAATAGTACATAATAATGAGAATTCAGGAGTTCTGAAAAGAAATAGCATTGCATACCATAGCTCACCTTCATTAACTAGGTACCGTGCATAGATAAGGAGCCAATGGTGGTATTCGTAACTGGACTGTAACGTAAGTGCTGCTGCTATCTGATTCTCCAGGTAAGCCAGTGTTGTTTCTTGTTGTACTAAGTGAGGCATGGAGAATAGTCTTGCAGCTTGCCTTCCTGAACTATAAACCAAATATGGTACAAGGTCAGAGATTAATTAGAATAAAATTCCCACAATGCAAAAAGCCCTTATTCTAGTCTTTCACATATCAAGGGTATTTAGTACTTTTCCAGTTTGGACCTCTACTGTCAAAGGTAGCAGTGCCTATAAAAGTCATCTGCACTCCTGTTAGACACTGCTCTTAGAACAGGGGTGGGCAATAATTTTAGATGGGGGGGCCACTTCACTAATTTTTGAAGTGGCTCTGGGCAGCAGTCCTGGAAGGGGCGGGGGCTCTGGTGG